CAACAACTGCGGGTTTTTTACGTTTATAAGAAATATCAATTGTCTATCTAATCTTATGTACCCAATATATCCAGCTCATGAGACATCACTCATTTTTCTGCCCTTTTCCTGGAAACAACCTGTTTATGGGGTTTCATTGCTGACCTAGATACATAGTCATAAATGAGCCGATGAGATGGATATCAAATTTTACAATAAATGTAGCATTATATAAACCCATCATAGTCCATTTTCAACTAATTAATGATAGGTGTCTAAGTCAGCAATGAAACCGATAAAATGTATGGTACATGAAGAAAAGGGCCAAATCATCACAAAATTATAGTTTGGGACTTATTCGCAAATTAGGGTAAAATAATGAGACTTTAGTGAAACTGGTAAGTAATGAAACCAGTAAACCGGAAAAAGGGGGTCAAATCGTCATTTTTACCGGTAATTCATGCTTTTTCGTAAACAAATTTTAGTTTGGGACTTTTTCGTAAATTAGGGTGAAATTTTAGGACTTTTCTGGAGATTTCCCTTAAAATAAATTAAAATTTTCAAATGAATTGAAACTTCAAGGAATTGTGATCTGTTGCACATTTGGTTGGCAGGACAATTGAATGAAATTTAATAAAATTGGATACTCTTATAAAAATCAGTATTTCAGACTTGATAAATAAAAAGGAATGATGAAATGTTTCCATGAATGAAAGAATCCTCGATAGAAGTGAATTATGTCATTTAGCAACAAAAAATCGAATACCAAGTCCATCAAAATTTGTTGGAATCCATGAAACAAACACACCCTAAGGACACACTAAATACCTACTTGTGATATTCATCATATGCATTCATGATCATGTTACGGTTTTCCTTATGTTTAGGCTTTGACATTGTCGAAATTCAAACCCACGATCAACGTAAGTTCATTGAAATCAGATTTGGGTGAGATGGAATCAATCGTTATGAAGGCGCTTAAATACTTCAATAGTACAAGACACATCATAGTATATTATGAAGATCTCGTCAAGAACCCTTATGTAAGTAGATACTTGTTCTATCTTTAAATCTCCATGTGTTGATCTTGGAACTCTTCTTGAGTCAACTTTATTATTGTTATAGAAACTGATACAAGTAGAAGACTTTCTGGAGCTACCCCGAATGGAATTAAGTAGCCGACAGGTAAGATACACAATGGACCCTTATCAGAACATATTAAAAATTGGGAGGATGTCAAGAAGTCTCTTACTGGAACACCGTATGAGAGATATCTTAGAGTTGACTACTGATTGATTCATCATAGATTTATCCCGAGGTTGTTGGTCTATTGATTTTTGAAGATTTGTATGAATGTGTAGTGGGGGTGTTATATTTTGGTTTTAGCTCACTAATTATGGTGGTGTTGGTCTAAATAGTTAAGTTTAGAATGATAATTATCCACTAAATTGAAAAAGATAAAGATAATTATGCAAAGCTTTGGGAAGAAGTTAACATGGCAACTCAATTGAAATTTTGCGTATTATACTACAAGAAAAGGAGAATTAACCTAAAAGTTAAAGTATAAGGAAAATACACATTTGAAAAACTACCCAATCTACCCTTAAATATGTTCATTTAACAAAATGATACTCTCATTATTCTAACATTCCCCCTCAAACGTACAATATGAACCGAAAAAACATAAATAGTTTGAACCGAAAAAGCATAAATAGTTTGTTAATTTACAAGGAAAACAAAAATGAAAAATCAAATTAACGAGAATTGGTAGGTCCACAAGTTGCATGGAAGATGGAACATACACTATATATAAGGTAATTGTCCCAAGCTTTAGCGAATCAATGACACTAAAATGACAATCTATCTTAAAAAATGCTTTGTGTGCTCATGAACAATTAATTTGAATATGTTACTTCTGTTGTCACAATACATGGGGGTGTGATGATTGATGGGAACATGCATATGGACAAGATCGGTCAGTAGGATCAAGAACATCATACGCATAAAAGTATCCATACAACTCCAAGCAAGATATGGAGGTAGCAGTATGCTTTGAAACATGGTACCCCACAGATGATATAGAGTGCCAAAGAAAGATACCCATTGAAGTGCAGTGGGAGATGCAAGAACTGGCTAACAATATTGACGATACACATTACATAAGGAAATAAGATAACTTTTTTGGATAGAAAATAATTTTAAACCCGAAAACTATCTAAACAAATTTAGGTCCTTCATCTTGAACAAGATGCTAATTTAGATTTTAATGCTTCAATTGCATAAAAATTATTACTAATAGTAATCATATCATCAACATATAAGGAGGGCAAATATGCGACGGGCTGTTGAGCTCTTGACAAGGAGGGATGAAACAAGATCACTATGAGGAAACTGTGAGACATGAAAACAAGTGGATAACAATATTAACGACATAAAAAATGTATGTTTGGTCACGAGATAAACTAAACTATAAATGATGGTACAACTCAACATTTGATCTTGAGGGTAATATGTGACCTAAATTTATGCTCTATCTATTTTGTTCTTTTTCACTCCTAATTAAGTCTTGATAGATTCTGATACCACTGTTGATTTATATGTATCATTTACTAAAAATACCAATACCCACAGGTCATAAATGCTCAAAAATGTTTGATGATCATATAAAGAAAACTCATGGTTTTTTAGGCATCCATAATGCATTGAACTCATTAGAGTTTAATGAATTGACATATCATTATTCTAATCTTCATTCAATTCTATCAAAGTTTTTCTACAATGCATTAAACTACAAAATGTAATGAAACATATATTTAATAATTAAAAGGTTTTCTTTTTTCATTTTGAAGAGTTCCATGACTATTAACTCCATATTCATTGAATGTCAATATGACATACTATAACGGTAAGGTTAATTTAATTCATTGGATCATTTAACATGACATCCCATAATGGTAAGGTTAATTTAATCCATTGAATGTCAATGATATGCAACCTCATTAAACTCAGGCCCGACTCTGACAGTGGGCAACTCGGGCGGTCGCCTAGGGCCCATGTCTCCATTGGGCCTAAAATTCTTAGAGTATATGGTATAATTATATATAGAAAAAAAACTAAATTATCTAAAAATGTTATGAGATATATTTTTATTTAAATTAGTTGTTTTTGTAATTTTTTGACAATATTTGTGTTTTTTAATAGTAATAGTGAACTTTATAATGATGTGTCTTTTTTCGATTTATTTTTTATTATATTTATAACTTTGGGGGTCGATTTTTTTCTTTCGTCATGTGTCCACCATATCTTTTGAACCGGCCCTGATTTAACTCTTCCATTAAACTGTAGATTATGGATGATCTTATATAGAATCATAAAAAACTAAAAAAAATAGTATGTTTCATGAATTTCTCTTGCATAATTACAAGGGCATTGAATACTAAATAGAATAAAAACCACTAAAGAAATTATATATATATATATATATATATATATATATATATATATATATATATATATATATATATATATATATATATATATATATACTAGCCGTTACCCGCGCAAAGCGGCGGACGGCGGATAGTTTTTTTTTCCGACAATTAGTTTTTGAACAATGATTAGTGTCAATTCAACAATTAGTTTTTTTTTAGGAAACATGTAATATAAAAATAAGACACAATGTATTGACAAATATCACAAACTGCACTGCAACGAGAGGTGAATAGTTTTCTTTTGGCATCTGTCGGAGGATAGCTATTTCATCGTTAGGCGACCCATTCCAGTCTCGCCCCCTTTGAAAATTAGGTCTTGTTTTGGGTAACAAATAAAAATAGGTTGGCGTTTTAGGTTAATATTGGAATAGATAATTATCGACAAACATTATTAATGCAATTGATTTAGTCAACTCTTATTTAGTTAATCACTATATTCCTTAAACTTATATGTTTCTTTCAATTACTACAAAGTTATAATACATAAGGTTTTATCTTATCTTGATTTTTGTAATTCAATCAAACACTATATGATATTTTCCATTAAGATCTATGTTTGACATTTGGGGTTAAAAATGGAAGTACGTTGTTTTGGGTAACAAATAAAAACAGGTTGGCGTTTTAGGTTAATACTGGAATAGATAGTTATTGACAAACATTATTAATGCAATTGGATTAGCCAACTCTTATTTTGGTTTTTCAGTTAATCACTATATACCATAAATTAATATGTTTCTTTCATGAACTCTTGTATATTTGGATAAATGAGAGTTAGGATCTTTGTGCAATTCTTATATATTAGATTGAGTAGGAAAAAAACTCAATTAAACCCTTATTTAGTGTCCTGTTATACACATTAATCTCACACATTTTTACTTTTAGGACTTGTGGTACATCTAAAATTATTTATATGACCATTTTTTCCAATTTTGTCATTAATCATATCATTTATAGTAGACAAAAATTATTCTTAAAAAATACATCTATTCAGTTACTACTTATTTAATATGTTTAGAAGATTTTTATCATCTGAATATATACTAATAAGGATATATGTTTTATCGAGGTATTGATTTTATTTTTTTCCAAATAAATATGTCCAAATTATAGATGGGAACAAACTTGGAATGTTGCTTAGTTTCATATGACATAATTTCTCTTAAATGCCCTGGTAGCCATAAGAACAAAGTCACAAACCAATTATCCATTTTCCCCTTTGATTAATTATTTTACTATAAAACCATTTTAAAGAAGTTTTGAGAGTGGAATCCATGTGTTCTAAAATAAAAGTTTGGAACAATATATTGATAAGTTTATCAAGATTTGTAAAAAGATTCAAAAAATAACATTTACTTCACATTTAAAATTAATTCTTAAAGCAAATATAAAAATGCTAAAACGTCATTTAACTTACAAAATTATTTATTTGATTAAATGACCCTCTTGAATTCACGATTTCATCAAATTTGTGTTCAGTACCACAAAACTTGTCATTTCACCGAAAAATATGTAATCCTTTCAGATTTATGCACATATATTTTGTTTTGTACCATGACAACACCAATCACTTGATGACCTATCGTTTCACCAAAAAAATATATAAAAATATATAAACTTCACAATTAACATTCAAATCCAAATTAGATTTAATAATAAATAATAAATTATAAATATACAAAATCAAGAAAAAGGTCATGAAAGTTGCCGGAACATCTGTTTGAGATATTTTGCAGTATATTCTTCTTCCGATGTTTTTTCAATCTTGAGCCATGTTTTGACCTGCAGAAAACAAAGTAAAGCCATTGTATGCACATTGACTTCTAATGCATTAAATAAGCATCAAATTTCAGTGCAAAATGGCAGTAAGTTGCTATATTAAACAATATAGTACTTTTTTTGAAAAAAGAACAAAAACTAAGATATATAAATCAAAATAAGATGCTATATTATATAATAAAATGAAAGTACATTGCTATTTTTTGCATTTCGCTCAATGAAGGACTAAATGCAAAAAAAAATGTGCTTTGACTTTTTTGTTTAATAAAGCATCGTAGTTTGATTTGTATTTTTTGATATTTTTATAAAATTTATTTAAAAGGAGTTGGATGCAAAAATATCAATGAACTTCATTTTATTGTTAAGTATAGCAACTTACTTTAAAAGGGCAAGAAATAACAATGTACTTTTATTGCAAAACGAAAGTAAGCTTGCTATAATTTTATTTTTATTAAAGCTGCTTTAAATGAGATAAATGCAAAAATACATTGTCAATTCTTGCATTTAGCCCATTAAAATTACCTGATGAATTGGAAATTTATAAAAAAGTAATTCTATTAATTGGGTATAGATCAACAAACCCAAAGTTCTCAAATACTTAGTTGTAAGTTGCTTATGAGATGAAGGCGTTGCATCAAACAAAAACAAGAGAGTAAGACCATTTATTTTTTTAAGAACTATATTAAAAGTTAAATCCAAGCATTTGAGATTTTTCATGAAACAGGATAAATAAAACTAAAATCATATAAGAAACAATCACCAAAAATGTTTCAAAATGTATAATAATTAGAAGTTTTCTACCTGTTTCCAGATGCAAAATCCCACATTACAAAATCATACAACCATGTATTTGTCTCAGACATGTAGTTTCCCTACAACATAAAAAAAACATATCTCATTTTCAAACCATTCGAGCTTAAAAGTTCAAGATCTCATGAATGTTTAAGCATATACCACATTACCCTTCATATATCGACTTACAAGGTCCATAGCTTCTGAAGCCATGTTTGCAAGACTTGGTTCACTCACAAATTTTCGAATTGTATAGAAACGATATGTACCATTAAACCTACAAAAAGAAAAAATAATTTTGTAGATCTAACAAATTCATCAAGTCTTCTTACAAAAATCATCACAGTTAAAAGAAAAGGAACTATCCCCATCATGTTTAGGAAACCCATGAAACTGATCTGTTACCAGTTGGTGTCGGTTGTGAAAGATTTGACCACACAATCAGCTATAGGGTTTGGTTAGAAAAAGAGGAGACGAAGAAACTTGTTCTTGATAGAAACCCCAAAATTAGACCAATCCATGGTCATTGAAAATCCCTGAAATCGTTTATCTTTTGGTTAATTAGAAAAGCGAGAGACAGGTAGTGAGTAAAAATGACAAAATCGCATACGATCAGATCCAAAAACTAAAATAGGTCAACAATAAGTAAAGTAACCATCAGATACACACAAAGTTGGAAATTATTAGCAAAAAGTACCACATTGGTTTTTAAACCGGTTGTAAGAAATCTTGGTCAATTGGCGAGAGAGAACATGGGTTCGCCTTTTCCTTCAAGCTCGAGAATAGAGATGAAAAGGAAATCTAGTTGTAATTTCTTCAATATAAGAGATGAAAAGGAAATTTAGTTGTAATTTCTTAAATATAAGAGATGAAAAAGAAGTTGTTTTACCTGAGATTTGTACAGAGAAGGAAGTGGTACGGTAGTTCTTCCAGAGACATAGATCGAGTGAGATAGAGAGGAGATATGGTATGCTTCAGTTTGCCCTAAAGAAAAAATATAAAATCGGTAAATAAACACACATGCTGAACTAAACGCAAACATGACTTCTTCTTGATCACGGTGGAGGTTTAGGCGATAACCATGAAAAGGCTACAATCACCGATGGAGAGGAGGCCGACATGAAACCCATATTCAAGAATCGAGATTATAGATTAGGGATTTTCGAGTTCATTAGCTGTGAGAGAGGAGAGAGAGAGAGAGAGAGAGAGAGAGAGAGAGAGAGAGCATTGATAAATTGGAGGATGTAAATACAGATTTGTAGAATAAGGACGCCCGAGATAAGGGGATGATGAAGGGATTTTTCAAATTCCTAATCTACTTTCCTCAAATTATGCAGGGGAATTTGTAGAAAAATAGAAGATCAATGAAATTTCAATAATATTCAAAACGTGTTTTAAGAGCCAAATTGAGCAAGTCAACTTTTTAATCCCTTGAATCCCGCATTTTTGTTGATTTTTTTTTATTTTGTCGACCAATTATAGAAAGATAAGAATTCAAAGATAATGTTTGTGTATTAAATACTTGTACTTATTGTTTAATCTTTTGGACGTCTTAAATCTATTTTAAGAAATAGTAAGGTTTATATATATATATATATATATATATATATATTGTAAACAATATGTAACAACTTAATTATTAAAGTAGTTGAAGCAAAACATGATAAAAGAGTGATTTTATATGGATTAAACGGTAAAAGACTAGCGATGTTAGCCCTAGTTATATAAAAAATGTGACTAAAAAGATAGGGTTAATGTCACTGTTGCTCATCAAACTTTCTCGAATAGGTTTGAAAGTTTCCCAAAGTTATTTTCTAGCTCTGGGTATAAGATGCAGTTTTTTAAGTTTAAAATGTCTTTTTGTAGTTTTTAAGGTATAAACCGGTTACTCATTGCCATGTCATAAGCCACGTAAGCACTTGAATTTCCATGAATTCGTCTTCCCTCTCCACGTAAGCACGAGACTTCTATCCTTACAATAAAAATCAGTGTTTTTATAGGAATTATTGGGTCATGTCTTACTTGCAAGTTGCAAGCCTTTCAAGAATAGAAAAAAGAGCGGCCATCTACTTATCTAGCGTTACTATTTCCATTAACAGGCCTTCTGAAACGTGGCTGTGGAAGGTCGAAGCCAGGCCCATGTTCCTTTTAAGCATAAACCCAAAAAAAAAAAAAAAAAAAAAAAAAAAAGACCATAGTAAATGGGTCGGTATTTCATCTTTTCCAATATCTTGCTGCGAGCCTGTGACATAGGTCTTAACATAAATGTTTAATATCCTATCTATTATAATAAGTTTAAGTTATTATGTTGACATAAATGTTTCTTTGATTGTTATATTGCAAGTTCCAATCTCGCAATTCGCCTTTTAATGAAAAAGTGAGTTTGGTCTATTTATTTTGAATAAATATTGTTAATGGGTATATAGGATTATTAACAAAGATGTTAAAAAATTGGTGTTTGATTAAAAAAAAATAGGGAGAATTTCATATATATCCTTATTAAACGTTAAAATATCATATTTGCCCAATTTAATTTCAAAATATCATATTTATCCTTATTAAGCTTTTAAAATATCAAATTTACCCGAATCATTTTTTAAATCATTTTTTATATTTAAAAATCATTATTATTAAAAAAAAACTAAATGGACAATACTGCCCTTTATCTTCTAAATTGCAGAAGTCGGATATATATCATATACGCATAAGGACATGTTAATCCCTTTCGTCGTCTTCCATTTGTGCGCGCCATCTTCCTTTCCACTATGAGCATTAAGAATGTAAGCTTGCAGTAACAATGGACTGGAGTCTCCATTAATTAAAGAATTATTATTAACCTTGGTAACTATCAACTCCTGCCACGTTGTCATGCCAATACACCAAGTCTTCCACCAATGGTTGATTATCCACCATATTTAAATATCTTCGTTTTAGGCGTCTAAGGAAAGCATAAGATCGGAAAGATAAGAGTGTAAATCCCTACAATCAAACAATGATATGAGAATTAAGGGAACAAAGGTTGTAGTTTTACCACAAACAAACATTACTCGTGTTAAAATCTCAAAATGCATTGAAACAAATCCTTTTGAACACTCAAAAAGCAATTGAATCAAATATAGTTCAAATTGAGGATGTTCATACCCATTTTGAAAACTATTTAGAGGGAAAAAGAATCCATTTTTTT